GGCAGGGGGTGGGCTGTCTTTTTTGGGGTCTCCTGTGGGGGATTTAACGTGCTCCTTCCCGGGGTGGGGGGTGGAGAGCGGGGCTGTCTGGTCTGTAGCCGCTGGGGGCTCCTCGTTCACTTCGTTGGAAATGGGGGCAGGCAGAGGCCGGAGCAGGCAGGGCTTGGAGGTTATGCGAATATATGTATATTTTTTTCTTTCTTCCTTTCTTGCAGTGTTTGGTGTTTTGTGTTTTCTGTCTGACTTTAAGCTGGCAGGAAATAAAAAGAGTTGCTCTGCTTTTGGGATTCTTCGCTTCTCCTCTGTTTTGAGTTTCCAGTCCAGCCTTCTCGATAGCAAAGAAGAAAAGAGGTTAAGCATGCAAATTTCTTTTCCCTCTGCTACTTCGGGTGTTAATCGAGATTTAAGAAACCTGCTTTCTGAAGGGCTGAGGAAACACAGCTGAGGCAGTCCGGGGTTTTGGCAATACCGAGTCTTAGCAGGGTGGACCCGGCATCCCACTTTCGATCAAAACCTGTGCCACCTGTCCCTTCCTCGGTAGCGCTCTCTTCTGCTGCAAGTGGCTCAGTGGCTGCAAGGGTCTGCTGCCTTGGCAAGCAACGTGTAAAGGTTACTCCATTTGTCCCAAACCACAGGCAGGCAGGGAGGATGGCCTGGTAGAAAGGCTTTCCCAGAGGGCTCTCAGCCGGCAGAGCTGTGTCTGAGTAGCTCAATGGGCCCATGGTCTAGGCATGTTCCTGCCCGAAGGAAGAAGACAGGAGCCTGGTCCCTGGCACGCATGAATTTGAGGTAGAGCTGTTTATCTTGCCCAATAAGCACCATCGGTGATGAGGTTTGCGAAAATGGTTATCACTGCAGCCCTCCTGGAGGAGGATTTGCATCTCAGTTAAAGCACACAGCTAAGAAGGGTAGATCTTTGGTAGGCAGCGGGAAACGGCTAGGGGAGGCTGTTGTTAGCAAGAAGATGGACCCGTCACCAGGTTTCTCTCCTGTCTGTAGCTGGTACATTTGGCCATGTACCGTTTTGCCACCGCCTCTACCTATCCTCCATCCTCTCGATTTCATATCTGCCTAGTATCAATAGCCTCTGCTGTGCTGAAGGCCACAGCAACCCTTTGTGCAAGCATGTAGAGCATACTGGGGACAAAAATGCTGGCAGTTGGATGGAAGTGAGTAAAATGAATGGGGGCCTCTTAAAATTATAATAAAAAAGGTAAGCAGGTGAGCATTTGTGACCTTGATAATCGGTAAACCAGTTTGGTTTAAGAGCTCTGTTCTGCACCGCAATTATTGCGTTCAGCGCTACGGCATGACACACAAACATTCGATCTGACGTTCACGTTACTGAAGTAATCCTGTTGAAGCCTAATGCTTCCAATTTTCTAGCACAATATTCTGATTTCACTCGTGTAACAGAGTGAAGAATGAGCTCCTGTTGGAATAGCCGCTGGTAGATGCCACAGTGCATTCTTGGCTCAGACAGCCATAGATTAATAGCACGTATTTGAAGGAACCTGAAACTGCTAAAGATCTTTGCGCATAGTGTTTTATAGTGTTATAGTGCTATAGCATTGGACATGCATTTTGGTTAGTGCTTAATAAAACTGAAACCTGGACACTCCTAAGTTTAGTTTAGATTGTGTTCCATAAAGCAAACACACAAAACCAAAGCGGCAAACAGAAATCACGATGATATTTATCTTTAAAACCAGATTTAAAATACAATGGTAAAGCAAATACAGTATTTTCCCAGCCACAACATGTGCATGTGGACTGAAGTGTGAAGAGTTAATACCGTTTGAAACATATTTTAAAAAACAGAAGTAGGATCATATTTATATTAGGGCTCTAAAAGCAACTTTAATGGGCTTTATTTGCGAGTGATAATCTGTTAGACAATATCTTTTTCAATGTCTTTTCACCAAAGCAGTAAAATATACAAGTTTTACAGGTTTTTTGGTAAACATGGTACATACTAGATATTACATATTCTAGCCTAATTGTTTATCGTATGCCCATGACCAACACTTGTTAGTTACATGTAAAATTTGCTAGATTCATCTGAGTGCCTTTGCGGTTATTGCAATAGTTTTATCTTCAAAATACATTATAATCATGAATTCTCTGGTCCACTGATGTGATTGTACTTTTAATCTGTTTTAATTTTATGATCAAGCAATTAAGATACTTTCGGAATAAATACCTGCCCAAGACTACATAAAGTGCCAGAGAGTTTCCTTTCCCACGTGCTGTTGACACACCTATTCCAAACTAAAAAGTGAGGAATCTTTATTCATATACTCATATCCGTTAATTGTCTGCTGCGTCACCTTGAACAAATTGCTCTGCCTTAGTTTTTTCCCTGTAAAATAGGCATGATTCTGGTCAGACACTCAGCAGAGGTGGTGTGTGGAAGCTTACTGAATTCACAAGAATGCTTTGAGATTCTTGGATCAAAAGCACTTTGTACACGCACAGCATCTTATGGCTCATCAGTAGCAAAGTGCTACTATGGAGATTTCTGCCTATATATTTTACAATTTTGATGTAATCAGGAATTTTGGCTTCCTTTCTGTGCTGCAAAGGAATTCCTATCGATAACGCCGTAGTTCTGGGCTGAAGTGGCAAGCTTATTGCAGCATCAGGTGCCTTGCCAGCAGCAAAGGAATATAGCTGCCCCCAGAGAGTGCAACGAAAGCAACTGCCTGAGCCCTGTGTCTCAGCATGACAGAAGGCATAGGTGTGCTGATTAAAGAAGCTTTTGTACAGATGACCTTTTAAATAAACCCAATTTAAAACTCCCTTTCTCAGCTTCTATACATTTTCTTCGTTTTTGTTGTTTTCCACTTTTTATTTTCCAGCTTTTAAATTGGCTTGCAGTTGGCTATGAAAATCCACACCATAATTAAATCGTTCTCTTGTTCTCATGATCTGTTTCTCTGTTCTGCCCCAAGCCTGCAGGCTCTGTCTGGGAAGATGCGTCCAGGCTCTTGGTCAGATGGTGAGGAGCTAATGGAGGGAGAGCAGAAGGCAGAGTGATATGCCGTGTGTCCACAGCCTGACGTGGAAGGAAAAGAGCAAGCTAGCTAGCAGTCGGGCAGGCTGCACCTTGAAGGTGGATTATGCCCCAGTCGGGACATAGCCATGCTGTTATAGGATTGCATAGCAGTGTCACAGCATGCGCCTACTACATATTGGTTGAGTTTAGGGCAGAGGACCTTGCGGCCACACCTTTAGGATGTATGGATAGACGTGCCAAAGGGCAACCTGTGTTGCATATAGTGAGGATGCGGATGGTTTACACTGGGCTACATGCGCTTTCACTAGTGCTGTTCCTGGCAGTGGACAAAGCCTGACCCATACAACCAATAATATATTTATATGATATCAGTTCATCACTGTAAGTCTGTTCCTCGCTTAGATGCCTATGACATTCTATTTGCTTGTAGGATAATTCTTCTAATATTAGCCTTGAACTGCTTTTGTGTAAGTTTTGGGTTCTCAATTGCAATATCGAAGACAGTGAAGATTTCTGACACATCAAAACTTTCATTAGTGCCTAGGAAGAATGAGTAAAAAGTAAAGGGACAAGCTTTCTACATAATATGAAATTACTTCCATTACTCGTTGTTATAAAGGAATGTTTTTAGAATTTTAGAAAAAAAGAGCAAAACTCGGTGGTTGGGCAACCTAACGTGAGACAGAACTCAGAGAGGATTGCTGGACAGCCAAGAGCAGAAGAAAGAATGTAAAATACGTAATTCTACAGCAGCTTTAATTTTTCCAGAAAAGCTGTAGACATTCTTACGGGTTCAATGAAACAGAGTAGAGCAGTTGCTAAAAAATACTATATATACTATTTGAAAGAAAATAGAGAACATCAGGGAGACTACCTTAATTCTGCTATGCAGAACATTAGTGTATCCTTGTGTAGTCTATCTAATCCAGATTTAGTCAGCCCATCTCAAATAAATTACGCTAGAAATACATACCTGGGCAATAAAAACGAACATAACCTTGGTACTGCTTCCATATGAAGGGAGACTTAAAAAGAGCACTTGGTAAAGAAATAAGTGAATTAAAAATGAAACATATTAGGGGCACATTAAATAACAAAAGGTAGAGAAAAATGAATCAAGCATTCACAATATAGAACTATGGGGATACTATATGTAATTAGAGGCAGCAGATCTAAAGCTGATAAGTGGAAAAGCTTTCTTACATAAAATTGCCCACTGACCTCATTGCTATGAAATGCTATTGAGATGAGAAGCTTAGAAACATTCAGAGCAAGGCAGAATGTTTCTATGAACTGTGGGAATATCATTTACAGCTACAATAGCCTATTGATGCTGTAAAAATACTTAGCTGCAGGGTTTAGTCTTCTTAAGAGTCTCCTGGGAGTTGCGTTTTACCTGATAGTAGTAGGATAGGTATATGCCTTCTTTAGCCTGCAGATGGGGGAAATGGGGAAGGGTTGTACCAGGTCTTCTGCTACAGACAGACACTAGAAAGCCAGCTGGCAGAGGGGTCTGGCAAAAAAGTGGTTGGAGCAGGAGGTTTTATGGTGCCTGCCTGTCTCTGCACTGGAAGTATACAACCCGCTCAGACCAGATCTGCGCTGCCCCAGGTCACGTCATCTTCAACAGCTTGTGTCTGTGTCAGTCAGCTACTGCTAGGAGATTTAGCCTGAACTGAGCCGTTCCTGACCACCCTCAATTTCCCGTGCAGGTGGCAGAAACACACTCTCTGCCTGCCAGAGGTTGGCTCTGTCCAATGTCAGCATGCGCAGAGGCTTCCTGGAGTAGGGCTGGATGGAGGTAGCTAGCTGCACAGCACAGATCACTCGCTAGGGTCCACACCCCACACTAATGTCCTGGGACCTGTAAGACACATCACCTTAAGTTTCCATTTTAAAAGCCAGTAAACGGTTTTAGCAGAACAATACAAGCTGAAAAAAGAAAAAAAACTGCAACCCTCACCCCGATTAATCACTTGCCTAACAATACCCACAGTACCTTCTTTCAAAAGCATTTGTCTCCATATTTGATTCAGCTGCAAGCACAGCCAATGCAAATGATGAAAAGCTACCAGAAGACACGATTTATTATTGTAAACCAGGCAGAGGCAATCCGCTGAGCTTTTCCTAGCCTGAATCAGCCGTGTTCCATTTAGGCCAACACCGCTGCAAGTCGTATTCAGGCTTTAGTCTTTCTGTATAGTTCTGTGGTCACATAATTCCTTACGAGGGGAAAAAAACCCGCTGTGGCTGGGAAGCAACAGGTTTTCTTTAGTAGATTTCTCTTTCTATTTCAGAGCTCAAAATAGCTTTGCCTTTTGTGAAAGTACTGCTTGCTAAGAGGGTGAAGTCAAAATAGTACCACTTATTTCTAGTACTGTGAAAACGTTGCTCATTTTCTCCCTGGCTTTCCACTGGAAACTTCTTCACAGCCATCTGTGGCGTACAGGGCGAGATTGCTCCCATGACGCTACAGTGAGTTTGGTAGGATGGCATAGGATGCCAAATTTGATTCCACTCATAGATGGAAACAATCCTCCTATACCATTTTAGCCTGATTTAGATATGTTAAAAAAGAATGGCAACAAGCCTGCAGATACAGCCTAAGGAGAGCTCACTTCTCAGTCCAGTCTCACTTGGCTCTTTGGTTTGCCTTTACAGTTTGCGGACTAATTTTTGCACACTAAAGAATGTTTATGGGCACAAGTAGATACACATATAGATGTACCTGGGAAGCCATACTGCTTGTCCTGCAAATTCCTGGGGACCCTAAGAAGCAAAGGCCTGTTTCCTTGGGCCAAGAGAGAAGCTTTTGGGAAGATTTCTGCGTTGTGAAGCAAAATGTCGATTTTATACACTGGGGATCTGCAGGATGGTGTGAACAGAACAAGCAGCACTTCGTCTGTTAATGGGGCTCTTCCTTCCACCTCTTTCCTCTCCCTCCTGTAACACAGGGAGTTTCACAAGCTTTGTATCTTGTAACCGCAGTGTGGCTTATTGTAGCGGGTGGAGGATACAGAAGAACCTGTGATGAATTGCAGAATGAGCTGGCCCTTACAGCCATTTGCAGCCACAGATCAAACTTTGCTCTTGATACTGCTCAGTCCTTTTATCTGGGAGTTCCCAAGCACCTCAATTACTTCTTTCTGTGGCTAGAGGAGAAGGTGATGACCTCTCATAAAAGCAACACTACAAAGAGAAAAATAATGGATTATTTCGGTGATCTGGATTATAGTGTCAGCTTCTCTGAAAAAGAAATAAGAGGGCAACTGTGGCATGGAAGTGGGAGCAAGCAGCCAAGGGTGGGGAAGCTTGGGCTGATCCGACCAGGGGTTTCAGCTACCTGAAGTAAATATGCTGTTCTTTGCATTCATAATACTAGCTACTTTAACAGCATTTTCTGGTGATTCCTTTTTTCCCCTCTCTGGGATTCAAAAGGCTTTTGGTCCTGTATTTTGACATGTTTTCTAATCTAGAGGATGACTTTTCCTAGAGGAGCCTATGAGCTCTTTGCCAGTCTGGATCACAGTCTGAGCATTAATGTGTTAAGACGAGGCCCTTCAGAAAATGAGTAGCTCATCGTTCACAGTGTGACAGGGCCAATAAATTTAGGATAAAGCCCCTTCAGGTACCCCCCACCTGCGACACCTTCCCTAAGTCTTACACAAAGGCTAAATGATATGGTTTATCACTGAGGAAAACCAAAGGCCTGTACTCTGTCCTAGTGAAAGTAACTGCTCTAAGGGATAGGGCAGAAAACCTCCCCCCACCCCCAAATCTGTGTTTTGATGTCCCTCCCTCCCTGATGTTAGTTCTTAACTGGCTGCGAGTGTGAACAAGAAACCACCTCATAATTCTGGTTATTCGTACTCCTGACTGCATGAAGGCACAGACACACTGTGACCCACAGCATCCTATGAAGTGGCGTATTGGCAGCTGCAGTGCCTGCTTTCCTGCTAGGTGCTCTCTCTTACAGGCCGAACGCTTTCTCTCCTGGAGATAGCTCCCATTAAATGTTGCATGGGGCATTCCCCATCCACCTCAGTATTGTACTGATTGAAAGGCATCCCTTCATAAAACTGCTGTGAGGTGCAGATCAGTGAGTCAGGGCTGGGTCTTTCCTTGGGGATCCTATCACAAGCCTCCAGTCAAACTATTTTGTTTGCCACCACATCTTCCATGAGGTTTGGCAGGGGTCCCACTAAGAGGAATGGTTTTATGATGCTTCATAACACCTAAAGAGGACTGCACCTACCTCTTCACCCAGGGCACCACCTGCACCTCCAAAGCTGTCTCTGAACACGTGTGCTCTTCTGTGTCTCTGTACGCTGAACTTCTCTGAGACCTGACTTATTTTTTCAATTAAAGTTTATCTGATTACTCGTTGACATAATAGTGGTCCGAGCTCCTAGGAAACACTTCTTCAGGGGTCAAAAGCACAGGCAGAGGCAGAGGAGTACAATTCTGACTAAGCGTTAGGAAAAGTGGTAACAACTGAAGTGAGTCATCAGATGGCTTCTTGAACTTAGTTCTCAGCCGAGGAGTCCCACATTTTCGTGTTAAAAAGCAAAAATAAAGAAGGTAGAGATTTTTAGGTCACAGGCAAATATTGTTTTCTGGTAACAGCATTGGAGGTTGGGGATGATAGTAGACCTGTCTGTTGACAGTCACAGCCCAGGGATTATCTCCATACAGCCCTAATGGTGTAAGGATGATAAGAGTGATAAAGGAGGGTAAAAGTGATCCTTAGCTTCAGGAAGAGTCAGCTAGCTCACATTACCTGCAATGGCAGCTTAATCTAAACTGGCTGTCTTGGCCTGAAAACAGGGACTGCTCCTGGAACCTCTTCCAGAAGTAAAACCACGGCAAGGCGAGAGGAATAGCGAGCAACAGCTGGAGATGGCACAGCTGTTAGTAAAATTATCGCCTCTCTACAGCCTTACTTTGAAAGATATGACCAGATCTGGATCATTACCTACTAAACAACCATACAAACTAGGTTTCAACAGTGACACTAGCCAGATCTGATATACTATAGAGGGAGGACATTTCTTCTTCTTCTTCTTCTTGCATATTTGCATACTATGACAGTGCTCAGAGTAAAGCTCAGAGTAAACCAAAACTTTCCCCAGGGAAAGTGTCAGTCAGGGTACATTTCTTGACTGACTTTTTTCAGTGAAAATACAGCTCTGAATTAGTCAAAGTGTTTCTTTTGGACATTTCAGTAAGTAACACTTTGAGATGGCATTCCACACTGAATCCTCAACTTGCTCTATTTAAAAAGGTGCTAGTTGAGCTCAGAACAAAGCTGGATGAAATAACCTATTTCTTCCTCCCACAAGACTCTTGTTTTACTCAGTGCATACGAGGGACTGAGGTGGGCAGTGCGTGAAGCCGGCAGGTGAAGGTGCCAAGGCTGACTTGTGTCAAGTTGTGTCAAGGTTGTTGTGTCAGAGAAAGCAGAGGGTGTCCTGGGGGAGCAAGTAGAGGGAGGCCCTGCAGGTCACTGGCTGAACAGTGAGCAGCTGAAAACAGCCTGTCCTTCCCATCCTTTCCTCTCTCTCCTCCTCACAGAGCAGCCTTGGCTTAGCACATTTTCTCAGTGCCGGTAAGGAGCGGAAAGTACTAGGGGGCTAAGATTGCCTGCTGCTATTGTCGTTTCCTCCTCAGTCTTGGTTAGAAAATAGTCAGCTTCACCTAGGCTGCTGAGAAGCCTTGAGGTGGCCCTGACAGGAGGATATTTGCCTCATCTGTAGTAAAAATTGGAAATAAATGCTGGCTTGCAGAGAGAGAAACTGCAGGGCAGAGAGAGAAACTGCAGGGCAGCTCCGGCTGTCCGTAGGAGAGTCTAGCCTCACGTCTATCATAGCAAACTGCTGTGAGAATTAGGGAGAGAGACAAACTAGTGTGTTTCTAAGTGGTTTCTGGTTGCACATATCTTGTTTTCTACAGACTCAGCCTGTGATATCTGGAACCAGATTTATAGAACACTGAGTGTGCTTCCCAACCCAATTGCGGAGGGGGTGGGGGGAAGGAGAGCTACAAAAACAGGATGTACCCTTAAAAAAGAACCGAGCACGTCTTAAACATCTCAAAATTTATGTCCGATCTCACAAACGTTTTTTGATCATTTTCATTACTCTGTACGCCAGCTGAAAAGTGGGAATAACACTGCCCTTTTGTTTGCATGGTAAGGACATCCCAGGAAACACTCACAAAGAAAGTCACTGCTGTTTTCAAGGCTCAGAGTGTGCGCTATGAACCAGGTGCAGTGCTCAGATGCAGAGGTAGACTTCTTGCGTTACAGGGGCAGGGGCAACTGAGGCACATAAAAATGAAGAGGCTTTCCTAAGATCAAACAGAAAATAAAAGAGGCAATGGACAGCACAGAATCCAGGTCTCCAGACTCCTAGTACGACTCATTATTCATTAGATCTCTTTCTTTTCTTTGGATTAATCAATCAATCATTTGGATTAATTATGGATTTTGGTGAGAAAAATAAATCCTAGCGTTAGATTCCATGGACTGTGCCAACACATGCATAGTCTACTTAAGCAAGTAATCTGACTGAAGTTGCACTATTGGGGGAAATAAGAAATGCTGAAAAGCTCTACAGAATCATGCTTTTGGGAACTCCCAAGCGTTTGGGAATATCTAGGATGGGAATGATATTACATAGTCATCTTTTCTCTTTCAGAAAAGAAAAGAGAAAAGATGCTTTTCTCTCTTTCAGATATAAGATCCTATTAAATGGAGAGCAAGATAGAAGAACACTCACCAGGAGTAGTCCAGGTACTTTGTCTTGCCTCACTTTGGGGGAATAAGAGAATAGCCAAGATGATTTTTTTGCCTCTTTCCAGTCCTACACTTCTACGACTTGGCTCATGTATTTTGATCCATACAGCAGATGTCTGCTGTTCCTAGATGACGTAACTTGGTTGCATACAATAGGACATTGATCTCACAGATTGCAAATATCTTCCTCACAGAGGATGGCAAACCAATCGCAGTTGCATCCTCTCCAAAGCCGACCAAATAAGGCATTGTTAAATCTGCAAAAACAGCCTGCTCAGAGAGATGCAGATTAATGTTGTCTTTTACTTGTAAAGGGGAAAATAAGTATTTTTTCCAGATGGGGGTATATTTTAGGTCAGGTTTAGTGCAAACACAGTGCAAGCACTGTAAAAAATGAAACTTCTAGGTCAGCCGCAGAAGAGGGTGTAACTGGAGATTTTATTCTATTTCGGCAAAATATTTGTAGCACCTGATTAGCACGTCAAAGCAAGTACATCTCTGCCATTAGTACATGGACTAAATGAGGAGTTCAAAAAATCATCTCTAAGTTGTGCGTTAGATTAAATGTCTTGATATTAAAAAAGGCATAAGAAATGATAGTTTCTTTTGTTTTCCCACTTGTGTTAAAAGTGTAAGTTTTACACTTTTTAGTTCTCTTAGCATGAAAGAAATATATTTGCGAGGAAAAGAGAGACTCAATTTCATAATTATGTGAGCTAGAGGGAAATCATAAATTATTGCACGATGTGTGATAGAATCCCAAGAACTGACCACACTGTAGTCTTAGTTTTGGTTTGAAATTAATTAACCATGGACAGCATTAAGCATGGATGCAAACAGGGAATAATTTAGCAGGCAGTAATTCGTCAAGAAGATTTGTAATGTTTGCACTGTAATCCTGCTTCTGTTCCCACTGGTGTGGGCAAGAACGCCATTGTTATCAAGGACACTCCCCTCATACATGGCACATGGCAGAAAAGTAATTAACAGGATTAACAGCCACCTATGTTCTACTCTAGAGCTTTCACCTGCCTGGGGACCCTTTGGAAAATGGAACAGACTATGCAAGCCAGGTAGGCTAAATTATATCTACTACTTTGCTTCTAAGGAGAATTAAGCAAAATCTAATTAAGGTCATTTAAATTCAGAACCCCAGGGCCCCGATTCATAAACAAGATATCACAGGATATCAAGATATTTTGTATCAGAGGATTTGTCCATGGGCATGCCTTTACACTGCCACGGTTAATTTAGTTCTCCCAACTCTGAATTACCTTGCTTTACACTAAGGGCCAAGCAAACTCGAATTAGGGATCATTACCACGAATCAGCTGACAGGCAGTCATTTGCTAGCCCACAGTAGCGTGCCTGAGCCCAGAGGCTACATGTGTGCTTTTACAGCAATGCTTTCCTTTAATAGGAGCCCTGGGTTTCAGCTGGGAACTGCAGCTATCCTCGTGAAACACGCAGCCCTCCTCAAGCCCCTTTGAAGGGCTTGATCTGCCAGCTGCTGGGGTCAGATGCACTTGGCAGCAGATTGCTATGGCCATACAAACAGAGTCTGTCTTACACCACGGCAAATCCTCACTTGTGGAAACCCCCTTCCTAGGTCTCTTCCTCGCAGAGACACTTTCTGAACGCTGTCTCCACTGTGAGTCCCCAGCCTGGGGAGGCCTTCCCTCTGCGAGGGGTTGCTGATGCTGGGGCACAGCAGGAGGACAGGGAGAACTGAAGCACCAGCGTCTTCAGAAACCCTGAGCACAGAGAGTCCGCAGGCCAAACAGATTGATTTTCCGACAGTCCAAAAGGTTCCAACCAGGGCAACAAAATAAATGGTGAAGTTCAAGAAAAGTAACTGGAGGCCAGAGGGGAACACCCCCACCCCTCTCCAGTTCACATCTCCTGTTGTTTCAAAGTAATTTTCCAACATGCCCCTGGGAAGAGGAATCAGATAAATTAAGTAACCTATCATTGCACCTGCAGGGAAAGTTCTTCATCTTTATAGAATACATTTGTGTCTGGGGTAAGGAGGTTGAAAGGTGCTTCTCTGAGGCCGCTGGTGCATGGACTGGCAGCACTCCAGGCTTTCGCTGAGGGAAAAAAAAAAAAGCCCTAAAAAACCAGTAAATGTGCTGTTGACTCCACTGGGTTCACTTGGTGCCTTCAAAATGGGAAGGAGGAGCTGATGCAGTGTCTGCTGTACCTCCCCTAGCCTGTGTACCCGGGGATAAGGACTCCATCACTCCATCTCCAGAGAGGGGGAGAAACTGGGGGGATTCCCATGGGTGACATTCTTCCTGTGAAGGTCAGCTCTGCACTGCCTTGCAAACGCACCAAGGTTTAAGCATCGCCCTTTGCTTTACTCACTCTGTGCAGATGGCTGATTTTTGTAGCGCTTTGTCAAAAGCCTGGAGGAACCAGTTAATCCCAGAGCTGAGTCTGGATGTGGTTGAAATGGTCAGGGTTACTCTGCAAAGCGTGTAGTGTAAAAGCAGAAACTGCTTTGCCTAGCTGGAGTCAGCTCCTCCAGCATGACCTCCTGCCTTATTACAGTGCGTTTCTACAGACCTGAGGGAGCTGAGGTTGTGTCCCTGAGCAGTTAATAAGGAGGCTTCCGACTCTGTAAGCCAAAGCAAAATGAAATTTGCCCTTGACTCCTGTAGGAGCTGCAGAGAGTAGTGTAAGCTTTCCCCTTTGCTTTGAAATCAATTACAATTGTAACACTGGTAGAGCCCTTTTGGAAGTCACTGCTGCCACTCAAAGATGGGATGAACAGAGAAAATAAAACATTTAAAAAGGGAAAATATCTGATAATA